GTGGCAAATAGGGTTTGTATATTATTCTGGTATTTTCTCACTATATAGTGGTTACATTGCAATTCAGTTATTCATTGAATCGTGTGTATTTTAAATGTTTATATATCAACACAGAACACTAACTCTGATCACAGTATGGTAAAAAACATAGTACTTTCACTTGGTTTGTATATTATTCTGGTATTTTCTCTCTATATAGTGGTTACATTGCAATTCAGTTATTCATTGAATCGTGTGTATTTTAAATGTTTATATATCAACACAGAACGCTAACTCTGATCACAGTATGGTAAAAAACATAGTATTTCATTGGTATGTAAAGTGCTTAAAGTTTTACATATCAAATGAAACAGAAACGTTTGCAAAAGCTGTATTGACGACAAGAGTCTCCAGTTGTAGTTTCAGCAATGAACTTTACTTAATGTGATCAGTAGGAGTTTTTAAGAAAGAACGTATCCTACGTGTTTCATCTTCTTTCGGTTCAGTGTCTGCATACGTATACTGAAACGTATACAAGAAAATGACTAATTTATAATGTTTAAAGCCCCCTAAACAAACATTTCCTTGTAAATTTCTATAAACAAGAATAATAATAATCTTGATTGTTCTTTCACTGTCACGGCCTTGACATGACCTGGTGGTTAGGGCGCTCGACTCGCGATCTGCGGTCGCGGGTTTGAATCCCCGTCACCAAACATGCTCGCCATTTTAGCTGTGGTAGCGTTATAATGTGACGGTCAATCCCACTTTTCGTTGGTAAAGTTGGTGGTGGATGGTGTTGACTAGTTGCCTTACCTCTAGTCTATCACTTCAAAATTAGGGACTGCTAGCACTGATAGCCCTCGGTTAGCTTTGCGTGAAATTCAAGAAGCAAAATCAAAATCAAAATTTTCAATGTCCGATTGTAAAGACAACCTAGAATTTCGTATTTTAATGAAGTTTAGATATTATAAAATACTGCTGCAAAGCAATGCACCATCAAAAATTTATGCATGTGTGTGTGTTTAGACTGTATGATACTACAACAAATATACATTTTGAAAGCCTTCACTTTTTCTTTTGCACATACAATCCTGAATATCTACATTTCAGTATGTTCTTTTGAGTTAAACTTTGATCGAAGGTACCACAGTTTATGCAACTTCCGAAGTATATTTTTACTGTTACTTTCCACTTGAATGCACAAGTTAACTTTGCAGATAAATATTTGGTATCAGGGTGAGCAAAAAGTAGCCAAACCAGAGAAGCATCCAGCTCTTGATAAAAAGAGAACTATGTTACAAATGAATAATGAACTGACTGTACCAAGTAAAGCTACGCACCTACTGTTAACATAAAAAAGGGGGTTTGATTCTAGAAGGTAAGCAGCGTTACACCGATAAGAACCAAACACTAAATAATCATCACATACCGAATGGCCTTGTTGTTCATTGGCCTATATTGCGGACCTTGGGTAGCTCTGACGCCTTTATAATCTTTCAGGTCACATGTAACCTACAAGTATAATTAGCGGAGTTAATGTACCGCTATTTCAGTTTAAAATAGCCCGTTTTACATTACCAGGTAACAACTGTTTTTGACTTAATAAACCTTCTTTTACATGAACATACCATGTCTCAATACTTAAATTAAAGCTACATGAATAAAGGCTTTCAGAAGTAATGACTGTAGGAACATGAAGAAGAATGTGTAAGGATGAGAACCGGAGCTGCTTTTTTAGAAGAGTAAAGTGTAGGGATGCTAAATGAGATCTGTCATACACGTAGAGAGTGTACGGATATAAAGTGGGGCTTTCTTAGAAGAGTAAAGTGTAGGGATGCTAAATGAGATCTGTCATACACGTAGAGAGTGTACGGATATAAAGTGGGGCTTTCTTAGAAGAGTAAAGTGTAGGGATGCCAAATGAGAGCTGTCATACACGTAGAGAGTGTACGGATATAAAGTGGGGCTTTCTTAGAAGAGTAGAGTGTAGGGATGCCAAATGAGAGCTGTCATACACGTAGAGAGTGTACGGATATAAAGTGGGGCTTTCTTAGAAGAGTAGAGTGTAGAGATATCAAGTGAGGGCTTACTCACAAGTAGAAACTGTATATATATCTTGGGTGAGGGCTTTCTTACAAGTAAGGACTGTGGAGATATCAACAAGGGTTTTCTTACAAGTACGGGCGGTGAGAATATCCCATGAGCACCAAGGGATAACAAGTGAGGCTTTCTTAGGTGATTTTGTAGGAATACCGAGTGAAGCCTTTTTTAGAAGTTAAGATTGAAGATATGTCAAGTGTGGGCTTTTATACATGTAGAAACTGTGGGGATATCAAGTAAGAACCTCAACTGTAGAGAGTATAGGGATGTGAAGTGAGTGCTTTCTTATTAGTAGTCTGTAGAGATATCAAGTATGAAACTCAAACGTAGAGAGTATAGGGATGTCAAGCGAGTGCTTTCTTATTAGTAGTCTGTAGAGATATCAAGTATGAAACTCAAACGTAGAGAGTATAGGGATGTCAAGCGAGTGCTTTCTTATTAGTAGTCTGTAGGGATATCAAGTATGAACCTCAAACGTAGAGAGTATAGGGATGTCAAGTGAGTGCTTTCTTATTAGTAGTCTGTAGGGATATCAAGTATGAACCTCCAACGTAGAGAGTATAGGGATGTCAAATGAGTGCTTTCTTATTAGTAGTCTGTAGGGATATCAAGTATGAACCTCAAACGTAGAGTATAGGGATCTCAAGCGAGTGCTTTCTTATTAGTAGTCTGTAGGGATATCAAGGATTTTTTTACCCGTAAAGTACGTAGAGATATGAATTAGGGCTACCTCATTAGTAGAGACAGTATGAACATGAAGTGAGGCTTTCTTATAAGTTAGGATTGTAGAATATCAAGTTAAGGCTTTCTTACAAATGTAGACCGTATGACTATCAAGTTAAGGCTTTCTTACAAATGTAGACCGTATGGATATCAAGTGAAACATTTCTTTCAAGTGGAGACTGTATGGATATCAAATGAAGGATTTCTTACAAGTACAGATTGTAGGCTATCAAATGAAGGCTTTGTTACAAGTACAGATTGTAGGCTATCAAATGAAGGCTTTGTTACAAGTACAGATTGTAGGCTATCAAATGAAGGCTTTGTTACAAGTACAGATTGTAGGCTAT